TTGAGCTATTGAATGCTAGTATCAGGGCGCGCTACTACTTTGAGTGCTGGTCCAAAAACAACTTTCTAAGACTAGGTTTTTCGATAGCGAGATAGATGTCAACAATGGTGATGTCACTCTGAAACTTTTTCAATATGTTGAGCAACTGATAATCCTCCAAGTCCTCAGTCTGCAATTGTGCCACTGCCTTCTGCCTACATAAGGGAATAGGATCCACACATCGTGCAGAGGCGTTTGAGGCATTGGCCTCAAAAGCATGAGTTGCACGCTCAAACATTGAATTGAGGCCTCAAATATCAGACCCCATCTGCTGGAGGGCCAATGGCATTGACAGGCGTGCTGACTTTCCCGAATCTCCGGACTTCGTTGAATATGCAGGACGGACAACAGTGAGTGTGCTATCGTTGTCGTTGATAGCTTTCCGTTTGCCGGAAGCAGTCGATGATGGTGCACTAGGGAAGATGGATGCATCAAGTGGGAGTTGGTGCGAAGCACCAAAGATTGAGGGCCCTGCGGCATTGGTATCGCCGGTAGGGCCCATTTGAGGATCTGAGTCGGCGACAACAGTCGCACGGTCAGGACCAGCCTGCACTGTGGTACTAAACTCGAGCCCATCAAGGGCATCTCCAAGATCCAACATGTGGACTTCATTGAAAGAGGAAGAGGCGACTGCATTGTTGTTAGAGTGTCAGGGAATGTTGGCAATGTTCAAGTTAGAGCGCTGTGTGATGCCAGTGGCAAAAAAGGAGTGGTTGTTCGCAGTTTTGACAGGGATGAGACCCTTCAATGAGTCATAGTGCTTCCACCCTTTGTCCTTGAGGCTCTTGGATTTGGGGTTTTTCTATTGGTATGTAGTACTCATTAGCATAGCACTGTGCAGAGTCGAGTCGCCATACCTTGACAAAATCTGCCCACATACTTTCTGACTCTGCGGTAATCGAGGCTCCATTCTCCAAGCTGTAAGACAATCCAGATGTGTTAGCCACTTTGTGGACTATGTTGTATAGACTTCGGAGCTAGAAGTTCATCAGTGAAGGTTTGACTGATCAAGAGTGAGATAGCACCCACCCATGCCCATTTTGATTGACACGCAATTGGTGTCTTGGGTGCACCTGAGCAGGCATGGTTTGCCATGCTATCAGCAATAGAGACCCAGAATGTCTTGTCGAAGTTCATGCCATCCCCACCTTTGGGGCGGTTGGCAGTGATATACTCGATGAGTAAAGTCTCATCCGTTTCAGTCCATACACATCGATCCTTTGATTCCGTCGCTTCTAAACCACCATGAGCACTTTTGCAACCACATGACATCCTGTGAGCATTGCGTAGATAGATGGACTGTCGTTGAGTAACGGGCATGCCAGCGATTGTGATTGATCTATGTATGTCACATTGTGACCAGCAAATCACCTAAGCCAAAATTTTGCGTGAGTCAAATCCAAATTTGTGTAAACAAGGGTGCCCGGACAGACTCTTAAATAGCGACCTCCCTCCTGACTCAACTCTGCATCAAGAAAAAGTTCACTTCATTGCAGCTTTAATTTCCCACACGTGCATTCTGTGTGCAAAAGAAGTACTATCGTTGGGCCAGAGTTGCAAAATTGTATAGAGTTGCAAAATGCTTCATAGCTCACGCTGTCTTACTAGGATGTGAAAACAGTAAAATTCACCAATTTTCAGTATCCTACCACGGTCAACGGTTCAGACAAATACCAACAGTCGATAATGTGGTTGTTTGTGGGAAAAAGTGTGTTGAGTTTTCAAAGGAAGTACTCAGTGACTAAAAGGGGAACAGAATCAGTAACTGGCTTGATGCAGTGCTATGATCCTAAAGAAAGTCAATAACTGGTGCGATGCAGTGCTATGACTTCAACTAATACAGATATATGTCTATGTGATGATTTTCAGAGCTATATCAATACTCCTTATCTTCACAAACCAATTGGAGATCAAACTAAGCCTCTAACATGGATCAGCCTGAACTAATACATGACTTCGAAACCACCGAGTACACCCTCTTGATGTAGTCTTAAATGGCCAAGTTCTTAATATTAGTGACTGACTGTTAGTCTTATTTGTCTTCCCTTGCTAATGAAAATATGTATATTCTCCCCACAGAATCGATTTCCTGTGTCTAAAAGAGAACTGGAATATATTGCACTAGACGACTGATAACCGTGTACCAGCTAGTGTCAAAAGTATGGCTCAATGGTGGCCTCAAATATGCTTCTGTATGTCGTGGGAAACAGTGTCAAAAAGTGGAATGAAATAAGCTAATATTTCACTCAGTGTCACTCAGTAATCTTAGAAGTGAGAATCTAAAAAGAGCCTTATGATCACTCTTCTTATTTTCAATCACTCTTTCACACTCAAGCTTAGGTAATACAAAAAAATGGGCTCTCTGATAACTTGGGAGCTCTCTTTATTAGAGGGGAAATGAGCCCCTTATATACTACTCTACTAGTGGCTATGCTACTGATTACTAATCTACTATCAAAGTTTCAAAGAATGTCATAGAATTTTCCAGACTATTCCACCAAACTCTAGTGGTATCTAATAGAATATTCTAGAATCTTTCAAGCCATCATTTAGTGGCTGTGCTCTGTGGCTATGTATTAAGCTGTGTACACTGCCTCTGCACTACCTGAATGCTGTACTCAAAGCTTTGTTCAAACTTTGTTGCAATCTGATGTCAACTTGTTAAATACCATAGTGTGGGTCTTGCACATACTTGTCATAATGAAGCTCTACACGGTTGTCAAAATGTGCCACCAGGTCACATGAGACTGATTATGTAATAAGATATGAAGTACTTTAGTCTTTCCTCTTGGTATTGTAAAAATGAAAGGCTCGCGTAAGCAAACATGTTCAAGATGTGACACAAAACATACTGATTATGTAATATGTATGTCAGGATATGTCACAGAGTATGTTTCAGAACATGTGAAAATGTGTGAGAAAATTATAGGAGGTGTGAGAAATTGCTGACTAAGTGAAGAATTGTAAGTTCGAAACCAGTCTTTCAGAAGTATAAGTATTATTTTTGAATGTTAAGTAGTGTTGCACTCATTTTGAGCCCGAAAATACTCAAATAAATTATGAGTGCTACAAAGAAAATTCTAGGCATAACCATAGGCTCATTATGAAGGGTATTACAAGCTCAATATTTGCCATGTTCATGTACAAAACACATTTTGTGCATGTCAACGCAACAACACATCTTAAGTCCTCTACTCTTGGATCTGGGATCTTCCAACACATATTCATAGCATTGTATTTTTTTTATAAAAAAATACCTATGAGGAACATGTACGGCTCCAAATCTATCACTCAAAGTCACCTGTTTCACATAGAATAGTCAGGGGAAGACAAAGTTTCTAACCAAAAAATTTCATTTTTTTTTCACATACACCTCATACCTACCCTTACCTTCTGAGAATTTTTCTGATGAGAATAGAGCAGAGTTGTGGTTGTTATTGACGATGCAATCACTGGTGTCAAAGAATGCTCAAGCATGACAGGTTGGAGCAGAGAATCAATTCTGATTGCAGACTCTCTTGCGCTGCAATCATCTAATGCCAATGTTTTACTCTCTCGCGTCTCATGCATTCTGCCGGGTCGGGGTTCAGATTCATAGAATCAATGTTGTGACATAGTGTGACATCGACACCAACCCGCTCATGGGAAATTTTGCAACTCTCTACTATTTCTAACATCTTGCATCGGCATCCCTCTGGCAGCATCTTCTAAATACATTTTGTTCTTCTGTCAATTAGAGCTTTCCTATGACACATGTAGCTATAATCTCATGTAATTATTTTGTCTTAATGTGTGGTAGTTATTGAGATATGAAAATGAGGTCCTCAAATTTTGCAACTCTGGCCCAACGATAGTACTCCGAGTAAGTGATAGCATTCATGTGAGGGTAACCCATACTAACTTGAAGAGCTAAAAGTGACCCGCACCCAGCCTTCCCGAGCCAATATCATGTCTTCACCAGCCATCAGAAAACAAAAGAAGTCAGCCGTGAAGCCTCGCCAAAAGATGCATCTTGAAGGAGAGATTCAACCTGTGAATGGCATCATAGAGCTACCCAATATGACACGACAGATCATTACCTGTTCAATGGAATCTAGCTCACTTCGAGTTTGGGACTTGGAGAGTGGCATGCATGTTGGGGAGTGGAAGGATGAAGGAAATAATAAAGGTGTACTTTCCATGGCATTGTCGCCAGACGGCAAGACAATTGCATGCAGGTGTCAGGATGGCATAGTGAGATTGTGGGACATTAGCAGAAGCAGGGTCATTAAAAAATGGTCGGAGTATGCAGCTGCTGATCATCCCCACGCAGTGATGTGTATTGCCTGGAGTCCAAACGGAGGGAGAGTGGTGTGCAGAAATATGGATGGCATGTTCAGAGTGTGGAATGTAAAGAGCAGAAAGATCATCCTTGGACCAATCGAGATTGGGGAGTATGTGTACGGTGTTCGCTACTCACCTGATGGCAAGATGATTTCCACTGGAGGAAACATGCTGAGAGTTTGGGATGCCAACACAGGTGAACAGCTCAAAACACTTGAGTTCGGTATCATTGGAGACATGGCATGGACCTCAGATGGAAGCACACTTATCACTGGGAGCAGGAGGTTTGACACCGCAACTTGGACTGAAATCAATGGCGAATGACTTGCCGGTTCCAAAATGGATACTATATTATCTCCGAATGAACACATCCTTGCAAGCGTACCGTACACTGACAAGCACAAAATACAACTATGGAACCTCGAAACCCATCAGTGCATAGGGCCACCCCTACATCATGAAGATGAAAACGAGGTGTCCAGTGCCGTATTTGCTGCAGATGGTAACTTATTTGTGACTGGCTGCGACTCCGGCCGCGTATACACATGGGATGTCTCTGCTATCATCATCCAAGCTGGGCTCGGTGGTCTCCTAACTGCAGTAAGCTAGCGTGCATTTCATCCCAAACCACGTTGATAATGTATCTGTCTGCTTTCCAGGCGGTTTGTTGTATGAGATATTTTCTTCAACAGACTTATTGATCTTTGTTCATCACAGAAGGCCGTCAACAAGCCATTAGTAGACGTGAGTTGTGTGTTTCTAGTTTCTTAAAATTCTACATGGTTTTGAGTATTTATTCCTAGGTCAATGTTACATGACAACGTGCATCCAAGGTTGAAGGTGTTCATCGAATACAACCAGGGTTTTTTGACGACCATGTTAATGTATGCAACCTCAGTTGATGATCGATCGGTCCAATTGGCTAATATAGTCGACAGTCGTCAACATCACCCAGTCACTGTACTGCAGCACCACGCCAATCTATGCAGCCCAGTCGCTTATCCTCCCACAACCTTCTCAGCCTGGCTCAAAATTTCATCTCTGGTATGCTACGCAGACGAGATGGATCGGCTATATGGTTGCCACCAGTAGTCGAGGTCCTGCTAACAGCGGGCAAGCCGGTACATTCGTTCCTCTATAAGTTCTTTATCACTAACACATTTTGACAGAGGAATTATCATGCCAGAAAGAAGCCCTCTACCAGCTCCTCTCAGCCTCCCAAGCCTCCTACCATGCAACAACATAACGGTGGAGCAACCCAAAGCAATCTGCCATCATCACAGCAACCAAATACCACTGCCACGGCATCTGTTACAAGTAACATCAGCTACATGGCCCCCCTATCATTTTTCCCCTTCGTCCTCGCCCTCGTATGCCTCCGGCTCGTATTTCTCTACCGACTATCCGTTGACCGGATCCTCGGGACTGTTCCCGTCCCTCATCCCCCTCCTATCGCACCAACGTGCGCACGTGCCTTCGGGCTATGACTCGTTCTGACTCGTGCCACCAATGTGGCTTTCCTTATCTTGTCTTATCTTTCCTTTGACTCGTGCATGATGCACATTGTATCATTTACCGTTGGTTCGTTCCAACGTTTCTCGGTCTCATTCCGCATTCGACCTTACATCACTAATCAGGCTCTGCTACCAGCGTACCTATACCCTTTCCGTTTCCCCTTTGCCCTTACCTACAGTACGGTAGCCTTGCCCTTAACCCTTTCCACTTAGTATAAGTAGTCGGTCATTCTGTACTAGATTCCCTAACTTGAATCTACTCAATCTTCCCTCGAACATACTTCCCTCTGAAGCCCCCTCAGCTTCAGTCTCTAGTATCTTTTCTTAGGTGCTCATCGCGCCTAAGTCTACCTCGATCGACCACCTCATCGTTCGGACAAGACTGTCCTTACTTTGAGAACGTCAGTGACTTTGAAGACATCCGTCTTACAAGTCACGTGACACGCGCGTCTCTGATATCTGCCGACTCGACGTCGCCAGTCTCAGTCGCTACACCGGACCCTTCCAGTTACGTCACGAACGTTAGCGGACGACGCCCCTCTTAGGGCTCCGCCTAACAGATCTATTTGAGTACGTAACAGCATCCACTACATCTCCCGCAGTTACTGGAACTGCAGCAGCAGCTGGAACCTCGCATCCTGACATTACCATAAAATGAGCTGGATGGCGGGCTCGTTTTCTGCTCTGGGTTTGCTGTGTGCCTGTTTAGAGGGCAGACGGTCAACATTAGGGAAGTTCCATGTTTCATTGTCATAGTCTCATCTACAGTGGCTCAAAAAAGTGTCTCAATGTTTCTGACTTTTCATGTAATTGCTTTATTATGCACCAGGGTGTGGGAATATAACTATGCTGTAGGGAGGTGTCATAATGCTATACTTCTCAGCCTCATTTATGCTCCCTGTAGCGTGGGAATCTGATGTCATCATGCGCAGATATGGCTATTTGAATTTGGTGACTCATTGAGACACTTTTTTGACTTTCAGTTTGATCAACACAATCTCTATAATTATGATACTTTATGTGACCTCCTGTTGCTCTAATCACTTCTGCCACTCCTCTAGCCATGCTATCTATCAATTTTGAATATTTCTTCTTAGTACTCCTTTCTCACTCTGCTGCAACTCTGTCCTACAGCTGAAATAGCCCCTATGATGAATTTTGATAGGCTGCAAGCAATTTCTTAGATATTTTTCAGTAATATTCAATAGGGCTAATGTATGGGGACTGTGCTAGACATGATAGAACATTGATATTATGGTCTTTGAGCTGCTAGTAACTGACTTGAAATCTTACTTCACATGAATGAAGATCTCACATTTACCATATTCTAACTGGGCAGGCTGCTAATGCTACTCAGGCCACCTAATTCATCAATTCATCATCTCCAGCACTGTTTCCACTCAAACCATCAACAATACTTGCAAGGCAACAAATATTAAAGTTACAATTAATCAGAAGAGGATTCTCCTATCCCTAGCCTATAGAAATAGGAAGTAAACTTCAGCTTTAAAGACCAGTACTGGACTGAAAGAGGACTGGAAGAGAATTATATTATGAGATAAGACCAAGATAAATATAATGAAGTCAGATGGCTGGGAATACATCCATAAAATGACAGGTGAACCACTAAAAGAAAAAAAATTGTGTAAACTCTCAAGTGTGGAGTAACAAACATAGAGGTATAGAGCTATATGAGATGTAATAGAGTTTATATTCTCTGTGTGAAGTGAAGTGAAGAACTAATATAGAGTGGTACATCTCTATTTTAGACGAGAGTCTGCTAAGAAGCATACAGAAATCATATATTAATGAGGAAGATACCATGTTGCAATAAAATAATGATCCTAAGTATATGTCCAAGTTATTCACTAGCAGCTCAAAGACCATAATATCAATGTTCTATCATGTCTAGCACAGTCCCCATACATTAGCCCTATTGAATATTACTGAAAAATATCTAAGAAATTGCTTGCAGCCTATCAAAATTCATCATAGGGGCTATTTCAGCTGTAGGACAGAGTTGCAGCAGAGTGAGAAAGGAGTACTAAGAAGAAATATTCAAAATTGATAGATAGCATGGCTAGAGGAGTGGCAGAAGTGATTAGAGCAACAGGAGGTCACATAAAGTATCATAATTATAGAGATTGTGTTGATCAAACTGAAAGTCAAAAAAGTGTCTCAATGAGTCACCAAATTCAAATAGCCATATCTGCGCATGATGACATCAGATTCCCACGCTACAGGGAGCATAAATGAGGCTGAGAAGTATAGCATTATGACACCTCCCTACAGCATAGTTATATTCCCACACCCTGGTGCATAATAAAGCAATTACATGAAAAGTCAGAAACATTGAGACACTTTTTTGAGCCACTGTATACTAGATGCCAAGCGCATCACTCATCCTGGCACCAAAGAAACCACTCACTCCAGTGCTGAAGGCATCACTAGCTCTAGCCCTGAGATCATTGCATTGGAATGTGAGGCACCAAGAGAATCCCCAACAGGGAAGCCATGGCTACTTCAGCTTGGAGATGGCACTGTCTTGCAAGTGGATGCCAGCAAGATTCCTGACCCCCCTTCCATCAGTTTCGCGCACAATATCCCGCGCCTCAATGGCATGTGGGACAACCATACTGAGCACTGGAAAGGTCTGTCTGTCATTGTCATCCATGGTCACCCAATTGCAGCTGAATACTGGCTGTTACTCTATTGCTACGGCAAAGAGCAGCAGTGGCAGGGCACAAAGAATAAATGGAATGATTGGCGGGTGAGTGCGGCCTTGGGATGTTTGACTACATTTGACTGACCTTTCTATTCTCTTGGTGCCCAGGTCATTGTCGAGCGTTACCATCAAGGCAGCCCTGAGCAATTCTGGGCTACCTTCAGTGTCAACGGAGAGCACATGAAGTATAGCACCATCATCCAGAAGCTGCACGATATACGCATGTCAGTTGACTCCTGCATTGCAGAACAGGCGCGCAGAGAGTTTGGTGCCACCTTTGATGCTAATTTTACCTACTGGAGGGGAGGACAAGAGTATGTCATAACAAAGGTGTCTGCTATTGCGAAAAGGTACACTGAGTTAACCGGAAAGGTCTAGCATGAAGTGCCATGGATAGGAACTGTACATTTATCTTGTGCATACAAAGTTTAGGATATGGCAGCCAATAATACAAGTTTTGGCACCGAAAGCTTGTCACTACCACCAATGCACGCAGCACAGCAATCAGAGTCCGCAAACTCTACTGACCATTCAAATATTCACCCATGACCTCTATAGTGATTGACCCCATGCAGCACTTCGCTGGTTTGCATAGTGTGCTTCCACTTACCACTGACCTCAAGATGGACACCAATGTTGAAGAGGATGTGACAGTAGAACAAGAAACCCTAATTGACCCCGAACGAAGTGCCCCGACAATGATGGCAAATAGGTCAATGGATGCTTCCGAGTTTGCTAAACTGCAGGTGACTCTCATGGAGGCTTCTAAGGGAATCACAGAGGGTACAGATGCCGAATACAAAAGGTGAATGGTTCTGTTGATGGCATCACCTACTACTACGTGGCCTAGATAGGCTGATATTTACTCATGGCGCATGGCAGATTGATGAATTCATGTCTCTCATTTGCTATTGGAACAAGGCTTTTGGGGCCAGACAAGGACTTCTTCAGCAGGAAACCATGACCAAATACTCCATGGGTCATTGTGGCCTGGATTATGAATGCATGAGTGCCAAGTACTGCTCACATGATAGGATGCTAACATTCATTCCACAAAAGTTGTGACTCCCTTAATCTTGACAGCAGCTCGAAGTCATCCACCAAAGACCGGGGGACATATGGACATGCTCAAAAGATGTGAGCATCAATGACCTATGCCTTTGGTAAGCTCCATGGTCTCAGAAACATGCATTAGCATGAGTCTGATGCTGGAGATGGCACCATGGTTGGCAATCCTTCGATCTCAGTTGAGGTGTCTTCATTCATGTGTTCACTGCGGAGGCGCAAGGTGGCACTATGAAAATTCTGAATGATTTGTAGCTGACCGTTTAACTGCTCTAGGTCCAAGCAGGTGAGGTCGCTAACAGCGCCCATGCTATAACATCAGTGAGTCATGTTGAATCTTTCATTTGTTTGCTTCGAGGAATATTTGAACTCTTTCAGGAAATATTATTTAAACTACACCATCATAACCACCTCCCTCAAAACTGGACCATCCAAGCATATCAACCTGGTGTACGAAAGCCTGCAGGAGGCTTAGGAACCTCCAAAAACTTAGACTGCTGGGGCGGTGGACAGGTTCGAAGGCTTCTTCAGGCCGCATATACAGTGGCATTCTTACGTATGTTGCAGTTCAATGAGGTTCTCAAAATACAGGTTCATGACCTTCATGTGGAGAAAGATTGGGTTGTGCTATACCTCCCCTTCTGGAAGACCCATCAGAATGGAGGTATGTATTCAATTTGTATTGAGCTTGCAGAACCATGAGATGTTCAATAGATATCAAGCCCTTTTACCTCTGGGTTCTCCCCTCAAATGAAGCCCATATCTGTCCCGCATGGGCACTTGCTGCCTGGCTGCAAGAGTCTAAGCTAACAACAGGCTACCTTTTCCGAAAAGTGGTGTCTGGTGACCGTATAGCGGAGGCAAACAGCCCTATGGTGTGTTACTACTTCATACCTCTGTATAAATAGTTAAATGTGGCCTTCTAGTCTTCAGAACAGTTCTTGGAGCTCTTTCGGAACAACCTTCTCAACATAAATATTGACCCTGCTCCCTATGGGACGCACTCATTTCGTCGAGGAGGCTGCCAATACTTGCATGTAGAAAGGCGCTGGCATCTGAGGAGGATTTGTGAGTGGGGTGGGGCACCGAATTCACCAATATGACAATAGTCAAGTACCTCATATCTTCAAATGATGACCCTGCGGAGCCAAGAGAGCATTTTTTCAATCCAAACCAGCGGCCAACTATCAAGTGCCGACAGTGTGGATGGTGCTGTTCATGTGCTTGAGAACAAAACAATAGACTTTCAACTCCCTGTCATGCTTGCAATAAAACTGTTATTTATTCACATACGACGAGATACAAGTACAGTACCCAAACAAACATCAAAGAGTAAGATCAATCAATTCACTATCATCATCACCTGTAAGATCAATGATAGCACCACCAGCAAATGCCATGGCATCTTCATCTTCTGTGAGGTCGATGATACTCATAGAAGAGGAGGCAGGGGGACCGGAATTGGAGACAGGATATACAGACAACTGGTGGACAGCATGGGACGTTGATGGGAGACTGCTCTATCTGTACATCAGCGAGAACAATGACAATGTGGCTGAGGGACATACCTTTGTGCAGAGATCACCTGATGATGATAGGAACATTGTCTTCACCCAGCAGTCATAGATTCTATCAGCAAGCCATACTCGAACATACTTATGTGATGATGTGATATCATCCTGACAGCCTAGGGCTGGCTCCTCGAGCAACTGCATCATAGTTTTCTCAAGCATATCAGTGGGCACATCAGTATTGTGCCCAGAAATCCCTACAAGAGTCTTCTGTGGGCGTGACACACGGTTAAGAAAGACTGCCCTTGTGCAGCCTGAGGCAAGGCTGAGCTGGACCACACATCTATCAGCATGTTGAAATGTAAAGCAATCACAAACCTCATCACTCCTGGGTGAATTGTTGGCAAGATCCTCCAGGAGTTCGTGTAGGATAACAACAGGCCAGATAGTGGTGTGGAAGGTATTAAGAAGCTTCTTCGAGTCCCAGCCTAGGAACTGCTGGATCACGGATGCGAGCTGAGCAAGGTCAGGGGAGGCTGGCAGCTGCAGTTTGGCTAGCTCGGCGAGTGAGGTGACTGCAGGGTGTGGATACAAATTGATGGTGTCCACACTAGGTAACGATTCAGGGAGCGAGTGCTGAATGTAATTGGCCCATCTTCCCAGTGGGATCACTCAACAGGTGACATCGAGCAACGTTTCGCCACTCTTTGAGAGTCCAGCCCTGGTTGTTGCTGCATATGGCACTGCGCAGCATACTGTTGTCCATGCAGCAGACCAAACCAAGTGCTGTCTCATGCCCACAGCCTAGAAGACCATTCTGAAGGAAAATGTTTGCAAAAATCAGCATCCGCACCATGAGCTTGAGTGATGAGGCTTGCCTTGTCATAATCACCACCACAGCAGATAGCCATGGTAATGAAAGCATCACCAGTGAGACGATGGTCAATTTTGTCCTGAATGGCACTAGCAGTATATATCTTGATCGTGTCCATCGAGAGTGTCGAGCTAAGGCAGGAGTATGAGAGACAGATATCTAAACGTGGATGAAAATTTACTTTCGAAGGACAGTCTTCACACCAAACACAAAGATGTCACTGTCGTCTGTCAGTACAGCATCAATGACATCAGCGCTGTTCATCAATGCAAGTTGAGCCTCAGCTTCTCCTGCAGCCTACATACCAGGGTTGAATGATGAGGATGAAAGAAGGAAAAGAAAACGCACTGTAATCCATTGTGTATGGAAGACATCCAGGATGCGTTGCGTCGGCTTGACCATCCAGTGCTCCCTAGAAGATACCTTATGCCCTTGTTTGACATCAGGCCGCTGGTTGCCATCATAGCAAAAGACTAGTTGTACTGGGAACTGAGTGAGTCGAGCAAGGCAGAATAAGAATGTCCGAAGTGCGGGGTTCTGCCCAGTCTGAGTGTGTGCCCGGTGCCAATTGCCTTGCTGACACTGTTCAAACCACCCGCTGCATGGTGGTGACAAGAGTTAGTACCAAATATGACAATACAAACGTGCAAAGACTGACCTTGTGTCAACTCCTATCATGTAGGGCAGGTGAGGAGCAGGTCCCACATAGCGGTCCTGGAGGGCAAGCGAGGTAATGTGCACTGTTTTGGCAGCAGGCTCTAGTAACTGTAAAACGAATGGGCTTGAAATCTGCAAGTGGTCACTGGCGATGCACGTACCTCCCAAAGGTTGTTGATGCCCATATTGACAAGTAGGCCTCCTCTTTGTGGTTGTAGGCAATGGGCATAGGCTATCTGAGCTGCTAGTAAGACAGATCAGTGTGCAGCTATGGTAGAGAACAAATTAGTGTGCGCCCTGCTCCTAAACACATGCATGTGTTTACCTATATTTGCCTTGGATGGCACGAGCGCAGGGCAGGGAACAAATGTCCCTGAACGGATGATCAACTGGGGCACGTTGATAGTGGTCAAGACCTGAGCAGTCTGCTTGGTCTGTTTGCCATCGATGAATGCTTGCAAACCACTATATTCTCACTCGATAGAAATACATACTTGAAATCAATCAGTTCGGTGGCAACCTTCTTCAGGGATACCTAGAGGATCCCACGAGTCAGGGCAGACACATCTGCTTGGGGCTTGTCAGACATATTGACTTTGAACTATTTTACAGCCAAAGGTAGAGATCAATTAGTATAGTTCTAACTCGAACACCCAACTCTTACGGTTTGAGAGTCCCCGCCAGACAATGAAAGGTCATGGGAGATTCTGACTCGAACACCCAACTCTTGCTGTTTGAGAGTCCCGCCAGACAGTGGAAGGTCGTGGAAGGGGATATTGATGGCCCCGTCGAAAATGCAAAACAGCATGAATAGCCTTGGATCAGTGGAGAGGCTTAAGCTTGACCTGTGAGTTAGACACGAGGATGGGCGTGTGCGATGAAACGAGGAAGCTTTACTTGTGAGTTAGTATGGGGTGCGCGCGATGAAATGAGGAAGCTTACTTGTGAGTCAGATGTGGATCAGCGTGTGCAAAAGGTGCCCCACCTACAACCTAAGTGGGGCCAGACTTAGTAAGTCCACAATAAACAGAGTGGAACGAGAACCTATCTAACAAGTCACATGCCGGTGATCGTCTTTAGCGCGCGCAGGACCATCTTTAGCGCATGAGGACAGTGTTTTTTGAGAGACATGGCATGGTCCAACTGTCCATCCCTCTGTTTTGGCAGGGAATCTCGCCCATCCGCCATAGGTTTCTTGGGCGGAAAAAGACCGCCCCAAATGGGTGTGACATTGTGGACCACAAAGTCTTTCTTTGGAACCTACATTGGTGCCGGCAGAAAACATCAGGGCGACTGGCTAGGCCCACAAGTAGTCAGCACGCACCTTTTCCAGACCCTCTCAATCTCTTCACAAACCGTCCCTCCTTGGCTCTTGTTTTGTGCCCCATCAAGACTCCAACATTCCTTTCCAAGCTCCCAAACCCCAGATGCCCTTGGTGAGTGAAACAACCAGGTCCCTGCCTCCAAGTTCTTGTGTGTGTGCGCAGATGCAGCGGCCATCATTGCTGCCATGGAATTTGGCGCCTCTGGCCTTCTATCCTTGTGTCCACTTTTTTGCAACTTTCTTCCAGAGGGCTCACCGAGTCCGCGAAATGTGTTAGAGCCTCCCTCCATAGCTATATCTGCGCCTCGTCTGGTAGTGGGCAGTCTCGTGCGCATGCGTCGATTTAGATTAGAGTGATTCATAGCGCGGGGGTGTCAGGTGTCTCATCCGATCGCTGATCGTCAGCGCGGCGATCAGTCACAACCAGTCACTGCAGTCACACTGTGACTGGACCGTGGTTTTTTGCGCCAGCAGCCATACTTACGAGTCATGATGTTCGTCAATGATTACATAATCATCCTTCACCGAACAAGAATACAGTTTCATCACCGAAATTACCAAATCCAGAGATGGTCATATATTACCATGTCGGAGCCACCATAACTGCCATATGTATCTGGCGCAAGTCTCAATGCAAGGCAATGTTAGGAAACTCAATTCGGACATTGCGACTGCCATATGACTATAGTCTGGCATTAGGCTAGTGTACCGATATATCAAACATTGCTATGTACATAATGCATTTGAATTTCACTCAGATTCATCAGACATTGCAATTGCGTTCAGATATAACAATGTGATGCATTGAATTAATGGTAGTACAAAGCAGTGAGGTACAATTGAGTGAACAGTTCCGAACCTAGTTCAGAACGCATTCGATCTCTCGAACCATAAAATCTTACAGTGAAAATAGCTACTAGAACTCTCACGACCATGGGTACCAGCTCGAGGCACTGGTGCTGCTCGTTTCATTTTGTGTCCAGCAGGTGGAGGAGACGTCGGAGGTTCACTCAAAGGAGAAGTTCGCGTTGAACAGGTGCCGGGAAGCTGCAAGGAGGTGCCGGCCCAGGAGAACCTAGTAGATTACATCAATATCAGTCATATATTCTGCAAGCCCGTCTTGAAAGACAAAGACGTACTGCTATGATAATGTGAGGTAAGCATCCATGACTATAACCAGTGGTTATTTTGAGAGCTCTAGCGCAAAGTCGAGTTAAAAGCAGAAATGGAAGTGATTGAACCACTGACCTTTGGTCGACGACACAGACATCAATCACTCTTGCATTTGCCAGGGCCAGCGGCAATAATGACAATGAGAACGTCGACTTCAGAGTGGCGTACGAACGGAACAGGCATCGCAAATTTCGAAAGAGCTATGACTTAACAATGGGGAAAATGTAGAGAAGTGCGTCAAACGCTTCGAACACTAAGCAACATAAGACATTGACTGTGCGAAGCACAAAGATGGACAACTCACCTTTCTTTCTGACTGAATCTGACATATGATGTCTTATAAGTGTATGTTGGATTTGCAGAAGAGACTACAGTAGCAATGGTCAGACAAATTTAGATATAGTAGATAGTTTCGTACCTGATGTGCAGATGAGTCTGTGGAAGCTGTAAAATAGATATCGATGATGCAAGTATATGATGCTGGATCTATCGGATGGATGAAATAAGTACATAACATATGCATATATGTGCATACACTCACCTAAGTCGGCCATCCAGATAGCATATAGTCATGGAAAAACACTGTGCTGTTGGTCAGGTTGAGGTGGCCTTCAGTATGAGTGATGGTGACAATTGCAGAGACATATCGAGTGATTGGACTTAGTGGTGTTGGTATTGGTATAGAATTAGAGGGAGGATAAGCAAAGATAGCACGTCAACATAGTTGACAGGAATTTGCCGGCGGGCTTTAAACAGTCATGTGATCGTATTTGCAAGTCATTTTGCCCTCACTTTCCCTGCTGCAGCGCTGAAGTTTGAACGTTTGTACTCTCCACAAGGATGAGATTGTGGCGGACGACGGCGAGGAACTCGATGATAAAATACTTATGGAGGAAGGTTCTGGCGCCCTTTAGGTACTTTACTTCAGTTTCACCCATTTTTCATTGTATTACTCTATATAATACATTGGATGTATCTGGATATGTCTGATATCTGGCTGACAGCTACTCTACTGGATGACTTGTGTCTGACAGATGGTATGTTTGATGTCATTGTATCGCTACGATATTTCAAATGTCGGATATCACAGGTATATACAATTGGCGGCGTCAGAAAATTCGATATATCATGTGATCTCTGGATTCGGTAATTTTGGTGATGTTGTTGCATTCTCGCCTTATTCGTTCTTATTCCTCGCAAGTCGCTGCAGGCAAGATCATCCTTCCCTCATGGCACTGTCAGCTCAATTGGACCACTCGTATGTACTTTTCTTTGCGCGCCGTTTTCAGCGATATAGACATTTTTTTTGCCTTTGTCGTTACCTCACAAAATATACTCAATTCTACATTTTGCCTTTGCGTGCTAACTGAGTAGTACGATACAAGGAGCAGCGGCAATCACTCTGAGACTCGCACGTTCCTTTCAACGTCGGCAGACCACTTTCGTCACAAACTGTTCATGCCATTCTCTACTTTAGCACAGATTCTTCTGCTAATCCTGGTCGGTGATCTCCATTCCCAGCGCTTTTACGATCATACCAGCGTCTATCGTGCCGAACATCCACCGACAATATAGAAATACACGTGCAGCGTGACCTGAAGCCTGAGCGTCAATCTCCCGCTGAGCCGAACTCTATCCGCAGTCACCATATCATCACCCCCATCTTCCCTTCCCATTCATCCCGTCCACCACTCTACCCATAATCGATCCTCATCATCTTGCTCCATCGCAACATCATGCCTGGTAGCTCAGAAAGCCGATATATCAGACTTGAAGGCGAGTCTCTCCATATTGTTTTCGTATCTGTTTCATGATCCTCACAGTCTATCTACAGTCATCAGCGGAAAGAATCTTCGAGTCCCCTCCTGGCGCATTCCCGCTGGAATTTACGTGTCCATCAATGTCGACTCGAGGAGATGCTGGAAATCGGCCATCAGTGTCTTATCATCTGATGAATTGGTAGCGTGGGGGAATACTGTAACCCTGTAAAGTCCATGGAGATATTCTGACGTGATGCGAGAACTGATTATTGGCTTATAGACCATCAAATGCCTCGCCTGCATTGTCAATAGAGATCAGGGCGTCCTATGAGCTGCGTCGAATGCTAGGCGGTGGAGAGGTCATCGGGGAAATTCAAATGTCGTGGGATGAGCTACTCGATCATGGAGATCACCCATTTGGTGAGTGATTCGGTTCCCATTAATTCATTCATGCACATATGCTAAGATCTCGTAGATATATCCTTCCCAGCCGTGCGCGACGTTCAACCTTCCATCACACTGAAGGTTGCTGTTGTACATGTTTGGGACGATCAAAATGGCGCACCGTTTGATGTGAGCGACCCCAGACTCTGTCCTGTTAGCTTCGCTGACGGAACGCCAACTATAGTCCCTCGTAGACTGCGAGATTGCTCGAGACGCAGATGCGGGCCACGCACAGTTTGCGTCATACATGAAAAGCGAGAATGTCTCTCACTTGAACGATGCTATGGAGCATTTTCAGTTGGTTTTGAATCATTGTCCGGTCGGGCATCCAGACCGCGCAACAGCTCTCACGAACCTCGCGTGGGTTCGCCTTAAGGGCTATATCCGAAATGATGTTGAAGACATTGATACTACCACTTCCCTCTTCCGCGACGCGCTTGCATTGTGTCCGCAGCACCATCCCGATCATCCCTTATCCCTATAT